ATCACTGTCGGTACTGTCGGGGCGGCACAGCCGCGCTGCACTGTGACGCGACAGCGGCTGCGGCTCGGTGACGGTGAATCAGCTGATTTCGATGGAATTCGGCTGCAAATTCCCACTTTTTCAGCTCTTCAAGCTTCTAAAGTGGAAGGTGAGTTATTCTGAACAATTCTGAATTGGCTCTGATTTCCTTTATTTTTATTACGCTCTTTTCCTTGTATTTTGCCTTATTTCAGGCATTTATTCAAATGGCTTACATTCTTTCAGATTCATTCAGAGTCAGTACAATTCTAAATTGGTCAGAATAACTCACCTTCCACTTTAGAAGCTTGAAGAGCTGAAAAAGTGGGAATTTCGCAGCCGAATTCCATCGAAATCAGCTGATTCACCGTCACCGAGCCGCAGCCGCTGTCGCGTCACAGTGCAGCGCGGCTGTGCCGCCCCGACAGTACGTAATGATGAGGACTGTACAAAAACCACAAATTTTTTTACGTACATATATAAACCATAAGTCATTCTGCGATTCCTCATCAGTAAGGAGAGTGCCTACAGGAAAACACGACGAATGTCTTCTAAAGCGGGGGGGACATATACAAGGAACGAAAGGGTGGACTGTGGTGATTTTCAAAAAATATTTTTTTGACAAGTGTTCCGGCGAAGCCGGGCGATGCTACTGGCCCTCATCTGGAGAGCTCTGGTGCAAGATCCATTTCGCACACGAAAGTGGATAGTGATAATAGTCGCAGAATAGCAGCGAGGTTCAACAGTTTGGTGCATTTCAAGCCAATTATGGTGTTTTTGGCTGTTCGGGGACTTCTTTGCATCACGTTACCGCGCAGGAAAATCAGGAAATGCTACAACGGCAGTCAACCGCGGAGAAGTAGACATACAGAACGAACTGGTGTCGATCCGTAACTTGAAATATCCTTCATATCATTGCTCTGTATGTTGACGTGTTAACAAAAATGTCTTCCACTAACGAGGGAATTGGAGCTATAGAAGCAGGAAGGTGTGTCACATTTTCTGAGATATGAGGCGCAGTCATTTGCAGCGGTCGTGAAGACGTAGGCGGCAACCCGTGCAAAAACTTTCCAAAATGTCGTTTCAGTCTTTTTTTGCGATCACTATTTGTTCAATACAGATCACTCACCTAGGCAAGAATAAACAAAAAAAAATGCGCAAAATAAAAGCCAGAAAGAAAAGCATCCGCGACGTTCGAGGAGCGTTATACTCGAGAAGATAGGATAATGCTCATAGACTGGGCAAAAATTGAATGAAAGTGGAGAAAATTTCTTTGATTGAGTGATTTTTTTTGGCAGGGCTCTCATTCCATGAGCTCGACTACACCCTGCAAGATGGAACTACTAACCAGCGCCACAATGAGCCAGGGGAGATGACAGGTGCTCCTACAACGATCACAGATGCAGGAAAGTTGCAAAAGCACATGTTTGAAGTGAAGCCTCTTACACACTGCTCGACAAGAGGGTCAGGTATATTGAAATTGGGGAACTAAAATGTACCCACTTTTGCACTCATACTAAGGCATTCTTCATGCATGGCATGAATGATTAATTTTGTCTCGAAGCTTTATTCTATAGAAAGCTAGGTGGCAACTTCTGTTTCCCTTATTTGAGAGTGGTATATCAAAAGTGCTCTCTGCAAGCGTGGGAAGGTTTCCATACGATGCTTTTAAAGTAAAGTTTTTTCGGAATCTCCTTCCACGATGCTCCCTGCGTAGACAGAATAATGTTAAGATTCTTATACAACAGTACAAGGCACCGTAGTCATGGCATTCTATGTACAAGTCATTAGTAATGCCTTTATTTCTCAGACTCGAAATTTCGCGCATAGTAATGTGGTATGAGGGTATAGCATCGTGATGTGTGGAATGTTGGTGTCAGTACGACCACCCCCCGTTCGCAGGAGGGTCTCGATACGATCGGTACGTTCCCCCCCCCCTTCAACAACATCTACTTATCAGTTTCCTACAAGTTCCCAGCTTCTTAATTTTCTCCGAAGTTTTCCACATTTTCCAGTTTTTTACCCAAAGTTTCCCGTCGAGAGGGAGAGGGGGGGGGGGGTAAATAGTACACATGAAACAGGAAAAATCGCAGTCAACAACTGGGGAAAATTTTCTCCTAGCGCGGCGAATTTCCCTCAAAGCCACATACGACCCCCCTCTCCCAGCAACGACCACATACAACCCCTCTTTCTCCAGCGGCCAAGTAGACCCCTCCCATGTATTTCACGCAACGATGCTGTCGCGGATGCGACGGTCGCCGTTGGGCGCACCTCGCGCCCCGGCCCATCCGCGCTCGGTTCCCACGGCGTGCGCTTCACGTGCGCCGTGGTTCCGCCCCCTGCGGTCGTGGCCAGTGTAGTACGTCCAGTGGCTGGCAGCCGGCGCCGGTTGGTTTTCACCGGGTAACGCCAGGACAGGGCCCAAGGCGGAGGGGTGAAGCCCACTCCGAAGCCGGGGGCAGCTCGAGCGCCGGCCATGAGCCGGCCGATGTCCACCCCTCGCCCCGCTGGGGAGCAGCCCTGCTCCAGCCCCGACAAGGACATCGACGACCGCATGGAGCGATGAGGGTTACCGCCGGCAGGATGGGGGCCTAATACGTATGAGGGGATGTAGCCTACGGGCCTAATGCGTACTCAGAGGGGCAACCCAGGGGGCCTTACACTGCCCGTGTCGCTATGGACGAACCATGGAAACGGCGCCAGGTCAGAACATCTTTGTAGTACGTGAGTCATCGCTAATAAATAGTAATATTAGTCGTTTGTGTTATTATAAATGGTATCTGTACCAGGATGTTTACTGTATTGCTATGTGTTATATGTCTTGGGAGTTACTATTGTTGGTGGTCCATGGTGTATATACGGGGTAGGACCCGCCTCGTGTCTCGGCCGGTACCGGTGGAGGCCGTGGTGGCACCTCAGTTGAGGGACGGCGGTCTCGTGTCGGCCCGTCGTGGAGACGCCGTGGACGGGTTGAGGTCGGTAAGTTTGCCCACGCGTGCACAACCCCATTCGGTCCCCGGGGGTAGTCCCACCCTTCCTGTCGCGGGAGTGCGCAGAGCGTGTGTTTCGGTTAGAGCGAGGGGCGCGGGAGCCCGGTTCACACGATGTCCGATCGCTCAGTAGGGTGCCGAGGGGGTACCGCGACATGGGCACGCTAGGCCCCCCCCATGAACTTGTGACAACAGCGGACCCGCATGTTCCCGAAGTAAGACCTGGGAACATTGCCGGGGATGGCCCCACTGAGCCGCTCCCGACCCATCGTATCACCATGGCTGATGGACCCGGTGGTAAGGGGACTCCGGAAAATTTTCCGGAGGCGCACCCTCCCCTTCTTTTGCACAGGGAAGACGGTGGACGTAGGGGATCCAACCGGGATGCGAACTGGCGGGGAAGGGTAGGGCTCTTCGGTCCGGCAGGACTGTGGCAACCTGCCAACTGGGAGCTCATTGGCGCCATTACTCCTTCCCTGGACCAGGATGCCCGGGAAGTACGGCTGGGCGACACCGGGAGGACCTGGGACACTCGCCGCGGGTGCCTCCGACGGGATGGGAGGACCCAGCTCTACGGTGTACGGCGCGGAAGGAGTATGCGGGAGAGGGCGCGGACACGCCAACGGGATAGTGCGTGGAACGCCCTAGAAGAGTGCTTCATGTCCTTCCGTTCGAACCCAGCTAGTTACACATCGGACCCCGTCTGCGTTCAGCGCCTCTAAAAGGCTTCCATCAGCCAGCACCGACCCCTTCGGTTCGGTTTGTTGTGGGTAGTGCTTAGTATGGCAAAAAAAATAGTCATCAATGTAGATTTATTAGATAGCAAAGGTTTCTCTTCTGGTCCGTGTTTACTTCGTTCTCAGGCTGGTAGATAATAGGAAACAGGTATTTTGGGTTATTAGCTAATAGTTTTTTTTCTCCCCTATTTTGCATTGAATCCCTATTGCGTGTATCCCTATTGCGTGCTTATTTCGTGCACTAATTCGTGCGTTACTTCGTTTCCTTTAAATTTCTCTATATTCCGTACAATCGCTGCTCATACTTCGTTTCTCCGATCGATACGGCGATTGTTAGTGCGTTCCCATGCCGAGGGGATCGATAGTGGCTCGTCGAGTCACTTTCTCAGGCTCAGAAGTAATCAGAGCACGTGAACCGCATCGTTCCCACGAGGCGGCATGGGAAAGAGAAGAAATAGTATTACGCCAGACAAATTCCCATAGTACGTGGATAGCATCCGTCAGAGGATGAATCACCGTCCCTGTACGTTCCCACAGAGCGTCATGAGAAAGTGGAGAAATAGTATTACGCCAGACAAATTCCCATAGTACGTGGATAGCAGCCGCCAGAGGATGACTCTGACATCATCTATGTTCACACAAAGCGTCATGGGAAAGCGAAGAAATAGCATGACGCCAGATAAGTTCTCACATTACGGTACGTTTCTTCCATGTACCTTCCCATACACTTTATTGTCAGCAATCGTCTCGTCCGAAGAGCCAGCTATGGATCAAGTCTACCGATACGAACTCACCAAAGCCGTCAAGCGCCTTCAGCAGGTCATGGACAGCATCGACAAGTCCCTCCTCGAGGATGCGCAATTCGACGGCGATCAGGAAGTCGGTGAGTAACCAAATTAGAGCTCGTTCTAAGGCTATAACCATAGCGCATGCTAGCTTATCCCGTGAATTTGATCTGGCCCTCCAAACGTGGAGGTCAGCAATCGAGTACCCCGTCTCTAAGGAGAGAGGAAGAGCGCCATGCTCTCGTATGCGACTACCAAAACCACTGGCTAACCAGTGGTGGAGAAGCGGCCGAGGGCAGGGCCAGAGACCTCATCACCAGGCTTGACGTAATGCGCTCTTGCAACAGGACGGTGTTAATTCGTGTTCTACTGCGGGTCCCTCTAAAGAAGAGACATCAAGTAGACATACTACGTCGAACTGTAGGTTGGCATCCTTGGGCTCGAGAGATCACTCTCGTTCGAGACAAGGAAGTCAGGCGAGGGACTCTATTTCGTCTGAAGGAGAACTTCCTCCTGTCCAGGATCAAGTAGAATCCAGGCGCCCGAGGAAGTTTCCTAAAAGGGGGTTTTACTCGTCGGTCCGTCTGCCAAAGTTTGATCTGCCCGTATTTACTGGAGACATTGCTGCGTTTCCCGAGTTCTGGGATGTGTTTGACTCAGCGGTCCACTCCAACCGTTCTATTACACCTGTAGTCAAATTCCACTATCTCAGAAGTGCACTCAGGGATGATGCACTGTCAATGGTTTCAGGATACGAGGTCACGGAAGCCAACTATGAAATGGCAATTAATACGTTGCGTGAAGCCTACTTTCGCCCTGACCTAATCCGTATGCAACTTAGCGACCGGTTACAACATCTTCAACCGGCTACTACGCGTGCTGTCAATCAACGTCTCACCTTCGCTCGTATCAAGTCACTATGGCTTCAGCTGAAGAAATATGGTGAGCACGATGACAACATTTTCGTAATGCGTTTAATACGTGAGAAATTTCCATTGGAAACACTCGAATATGTCGGCCAGGCGCAGGCCATAGACACGGTTCCGTGGAAGGTTCCACAACTCCTCAATGCACTTGATCAAGCGATCAAGACATTTGAAGTGATTGAGGATTCCGCACCAGCTGAACCAACGTCTTCGCCTTCATCGCTGGCGATATATTTCACATCGCAATCCTCCCCATGAGGATATGTTCATCTAATACGTACAGGAGATCTCTCCTGTGAGGAAGCCATGATATATTCACATCGCAATCCTCCCCATGAGGATATGTTCATCTAATACGTACAGGAGATCTCTCCTGTGAGAAGATCCATGTGCTATAGCACAAATTTCATCCGTTCCGTCGTTGCCAGAAAGCACTCCTAGTTCGTGCTCATCAGACCAATTTTTGCCATCGGTGGGAGGCTGGACCTCCAAGGTCCAGATCACAAAGCAGGCGGCGACTAGCCTGTATGAGTACACTAATGCGTCCTCTGCGGTAACATCCCATTAATGCGTCGTAAGCTATAGCGCACCTGTGGGTGTGCACCCCTTTTCTGTCGTTTAGGTCGATTGGCAGCGAATGGCGAATGGGTTGTCGACGAGATCGAGCTGGTCAATGGGCAAGTGCGAGGTCGGTTCGAGTCAGTTGGTCAAGTGCGGTTGTGGTTGGAAGTCGGTTCGAGGATCACGTCGACAGCAGTTGGAACTCCTACGGACGAGGATAACGACACCATCGGTTAGATCAAGTTATGCTCCGACGTGTGCGTGGTTCGATGCGATAATGGTTGGATGGAAGCGTGGAAAGCGACAGTCAAAGAGTGGCGAGTTACGACGACACCTGTTAAATGATCCATTTTCTCTGAGGTGGCCCTTATGGCGCCTCCATCGTTGCAGTTTTTTTTGAGTTGCCCTTAAGGCACTCCCTTTTTATGCCTTTTAAGAGTGGCCCATAAGGCGCTCTCATTGCTTTTTTAGAGTGGCCCTTAAGGCGCTCTTGGTGTCTTTTGTATCTCGCTGTTGGGGGTTTATTACGTATCACGTTGTATTTGTATTTTGTTCTCCTTATTTCTCTGGATGCCCTTAAGGCACCACTTGTCTATGACGGTTGAAGTGTTTTTGAAAATAGCCCTTAAGGCAATTGTTCAATTAATAACGATTTTTTACGTAGTATGGTCGCCTGTAGGTAGGAAAAATGTGAGGGTGGAGTTCCATTAGCTGAATTAGTGTTTTTCAACTTTATAGCCTCAATTCTGGGCGTCTGGTGTCTACTTCTCCCGGCGGAGACTTGACCATTCCGACCCCCCGTGGCGACTTCTTGCGCGCCTCGGGAGTGTCGCGGATGCGACGGTCGCCGTTGGGCGCACCTCGCGCCCCGGCCCATCCGCGCTCGGTTCCCACGGCGTGCGCTTCACGTGCGCCGTGGTTCCGCCCCCTGCGGTCGTGGCCAGTGTAGTACGTCCAGTGGCTGGCAGCCGGTGCCGGTTGGTTTTCACCGGGTAACGCCAGGACAGGGCCCAAGGCGGAGGGGTGAAGCCCACTCCGAAGCCGGGGCAGCTCGAGCGCCGGCCATGAGCCGGCCGATGTCCATCCCCTGCTCCCCGACTGGGAGCAGCCTCTGCTCCAGCCCCGACAAGGACATCGACGACCGCATGGAGCGATGAGGGTTACCGCCGGCAGGATGGGGGCCTAATACGTATGAGGGATGTAGCCTACGGGCCTATTGCGTACTCAGAGGGGCAACGGCCACGGGGGCCTATTACGTGCTCAGCTATGGAACGAAGCCCACGGAGAACGGCGGCCAGGGGAGAACAATCATTGTAGTGCGGTGAGTAGTTCGTTAATAAATGATGTAGATTATTTAATGTTCTATTTGTTAGTATAATGGTTTATACCACGGTGCTTACCTGTGTTCTAATGTGGGGTTGTTACCATGGTGGTACCATGGTGGTTGGTATACGGGGGTAGGGCCACGGCCTCGTGCGGCGCGGTACGGTGGAGACGCCGTGGACGGTAGGGGGTCGGTAAGGTGCCCGCCGTAGAAAACCCCATGGTCCCCGGGGGGTTAGGTCCACCCTTCCTGTGCGGGTGCGCAGGAAGGGTGTGGTAGAGCGATGGGACGCGGGAGCCGCGGTTACCACCGATGTCGATCGCGGCAGTAGGGTGCCAGGTGTCCGCGACAGATGTTGTACCCTGTGTGGTACTATTCAGCTGAAGACAAGATTGTCGAATACTTGTATTCACAGCTAACTTTTCGGCGTCGCTGCCTTTTTCAGAGCGCGGAAAGTCGAAAGACATTTGAGACCTTTTTTGTCCAGACACTATTACAACTTATCGGGAAACTTCAAAAGAAATGCAGGCTATTGGGTCGGCCCATACACTCCTTATCCTTGAGCCAGAGTAGGCGTGGCATTTGAACATGGCACGGAACTGGTTACTCGTGGAATATTCCAGTCTGGGACAACTGTCATCTTGTTCTGTGTTGGAGAGACACGACAACAATTGTGTCAAGATGAAAATATCTCACCAGAAGCATAGACTCCTTCAGGTTAAGTTGAAGAGTGCAGCGCCTACCCGATCTCAGGGATTTCAGGTGTAAGTAATGGCGTTTTTTTCTCACTCGAAATATCGCGCTGATGGTGAAAACTTTTGCTATTGTATTTTACACAGGGCACATCGTTGGTTGGGGAATCCCCAACAGGGGGTCGTATTTGGCCGCCAGGAGAGGGGGTCGTAATGAGTGCGGTAGCCAGTAACGAGCAGCGCAAAGGTGTCAGTGTGCTGAGTCCTGTACAGCGAAACTTGCTTTGTAGAGAACTCGGATATGTAAAAAAATAGTACAAAACTTTCATTCATCAAACTAATCCGAAATAACTGGAAATATTAATAAGTCGACATCATCTCGTAAGTGATAAACAGTACATCATACTCTGGTTCGCTGCGGTTGATGGGGCGCTGAGCTAACCCGTTTTTTTCGACAAACGACAGGACTACCATATCGTTCGTATCAGACGTTTTCCAGCAGTTGGTCTCCTTTATCGGAATCAGCAATTGGCGGAGCACGAATCTGGCGGCGTCGACAGGGACACGCTCCATCATACGCGTAAACAAGTGCACAGGTTCGCCATGGACCTCCCTGAATCCTATAGACACATTTGCTCGCGTGGACAGACATTACGCACAAATTGCACCATCCCATCACCTCTGCGCGGACCTCAATGCGCGGCGCATCCAAAGTTAGCATGATTGGCGCTAAACAAACCACATCCTGCTCCTGCTCCACCACAGGATACGTTCTACATGTATTTCTGGCTATTCGAACACGCTCGCTTGAAACCGTACACAGAAAACGGACTTTCGAACAGTTCGGAGTGTTCCCCAACTAATCCCCAACGCAAATTATCTCATGAATCCCGGGACTTCAGAAATAGTTCAAGTAGTTTTTGGAAAGAGAAAATCTTCCAGAGTTCGATACTGGTTTCAGATTCCCAAACTATTGAGGTTCAAGGGAAATATCTTCGGTTCAAACCTGTAAAACTCGCGCTGCAAACTATCCAAAAAATGAACTCCCTAAAAACTCCCCAACGCAAATTTCTACATGAATTCGGCGACCTTTATGAACATGTTAGTATTTTGGAAAGATAAAATCTTTCTCCATACCACTGCGTTCTTCTCTTTCCCAAAGGTCCGCTTTAGGAAGGTTATGGCCCTTCAAAGACACCCTACTTTCCTGAAAACTCGCGCTCCAATCCCTGCATCTATTCCTACAACGTCCGCGCCACGCGTGTCGACCGCGGCGCTCCTGGCATTTTGCCAATCTTTGGTGATTCATGCTTCCAATCGATCCCACGGCCGTTTTCCAGCTGATTGCGGCTGTTCCTGCGTCCCTCTTTGTTTCTTTCGTTTTTTTTTTCTTTTTGTTTTTCTTTTTGTTTTCTAATGAAGAGTCCCCCACAAATCCTATCCGCAGCCTCATCGTGGCGTGGGGGTGAACGGTTTTGGACTGTTCCAAAAACGTACCAATGCGGAGGGTGCCACGTCAGAGCCTGGCGAGCTACGCGTGGTTAAATTTCTTCTCGCCGAAAACAGTAACAATTATGGGCCTCATTCCCCTGAACCTGAGGGAACCACCGACAGGGCGACGTCGGCTGGGACCGCTCGGGCGAGGCTGCTAAGAATCACAGGGCCAACGGAGATTTAAGTCGCCCAGGACTAGGATGACGATCTGTACTTTCAACGCACGGACGCTTGCATCGGAAGCTCACATCGAAGATCTGATGTTGCAAGCCAGGAAGATCAAGAGATCGGAAGAGACTGACCGAGACAAGGAGGCATCGCCCGCTACACGCCGTATACGAGACTGGAGAAGAACTGTTCCTCGGAACATGCGACAGCAGAGGCGTTGGCGGTGTGGGCGTCCTCGTCAACACGCACTTGGCCATGAACATCGATTCGTACGAAAATCTGACACCCGAATCGGAC